TATGCCGTTGTTTTAAGATTTTAGTTTTTTTCTTATGAATATGTAAAAAGGATGGCTTCTTTGTTTAAACTTTATTTACGTTTACTTAAAAATAAGAATATTTGAATTTTTAATAATAGTTTTATAAAAACATGCAATAAAGTATAGTATACTATATTTAATTATAATTGGACATTTTATATAGTAATTGGACACATAGACCATAGTTATTGGACTTACAATTTTTATTTAAACATAACAACTTTACATCAAATAATATAAATTGTTAAATATTTTTAAAATTGCTGTTTTATGTAATTTTTTTTTTCGTTTTTGTAAATATCATATAATTTATATATTTCTTTCTCGGATTCCTCATCCCTTTTCTGGATTCTGAAGGTAACTACTAATTCCTTGGTCTGACTTCTAAAATATCATTAAGTGTGGTTTGTATAGTTTGTGAAGCATTTGTAATGTTTAGGTTGGAACAGGATGATTTATAATATTTTTTCGGGTGGTATGTTAAAAGTATTTTCCAAATTTATTAATTTTGTTGCCATTAGTTTGGTCTCTATCATGCACTGTATTTAAATCACTGTTATTCTGCAAGAATGTGACGAAGAACTTACTCTTTAAAAATGAATAAGTCAAAAATGTCATTGCGAAAAAAAGCAGCCACTAATAATTCGTCAACAGCAATTTGTATCCAGGACATTTAGCAGTCAATTCCTATGAAATATTATTCGGTGAATCCGAAAATCTCGTCAAAAGTTATAAAAGTAGAACAGTTTTTGAAATATAATCAATTTTACATATAATATGGAATTGTCTATATCTCAAAAACTGCTTAACTTTTATAGTTTTTGACGGTCTTTTCGGATTCAGGGGTCAATTTTACATAAGAATTGGCTGGTAAATGTCCGGGATACAAATAGAGTAAACACCGGACACCGGCCATTTTACTGTTTGGTTTCAGAATTAAAATTAAAACGCATTAAAGTGACAATGTTCAAACCATGATGAACACATTTATACCACACACTGATCTGTACACTTTTTAGAAATATTTTTATTGTAATTTAAACACAGCCCTGCTCTTAACAAAAAAACAAAAATCTTACCACCAAAGTAACGTGCGAACTTTATTGTCCTATATTGTCCAATAACTATAAAATAAAACCTATAAATTCTCAAACAAAAATAATTCTAAAATAACGAAAATAACTTTTTTTCTAAATTAAATGTTCATATAGACCACCAGCAGCAGTTAAACAATACCCTAGCCTATCATAAAAATTCCTGCGCACGTTAAACAGCCCTACTACAGTGGGCGGGGTTTGGCACTTGTTTTATTTACAGTATTTTTATTTTTACAAAAAAATTACAAAAAATTAAAATTTAAAAAAATAAAATTAACAAATCTGATTTTTATAACAGTGTAATTACGGTAAAGAAGAAAACAAGTGCTTTAAATATGTGTAATGATTAAATTTTTTGTGCTGTATCGGTAAGGTTTTAGTCGTGGTGGCTTCTCCTTGGTCCATTTAACCTCACCCGAGCCCAGGTGCAACACGGTACGCGTATACGTATATTTGTGCCGTGGGCCCCCCATGAAGCGACTGCGAGCAATTAATATCGATCTCGTTTGCGCAATTAAGAGCTGCAGCGAATTCCGCGGCGTCGGGCGCGCTCCCTTACTCACGCACCTCAATTAATTTAATTAAAAATCCGCGTAGCAGCCATATTGGGGTGCCCCTTCGTCACCTAAACGGGCCCGGCGGACCACACGCGCGACACTTTTTCTCCTCTCTCGCAGTTATCGATTTACATGCGATCGCGTCGATATGATTTATCGAGGCTGTCGGTCGTCATCGACAGTTACCTTATAAGCGGGAGCTCGTCGAAATATTTTTGCGTTTTTTTTTCACTCTCGATTTTTGGACTCGTTAAGCAGCAGCTTGTCGCCTTTGCTAATCAGCTTTAAGTGGTTTGAATTCTTTCATATTTGTGAAATAAAGTTTTCGACAACTAATGAACAACATTTTTGGCTGACTCTTGCATACAGTGTGTATTAAAACGAATAGATACACTTAAATAAAACAAGTGCCAAACCCCGCCCACTGTGGTAGGGATTGACTCCGTGTGATTTTTTCTTGTGGGGATACGTCAAGTCGAAAATTTATGGATTTCAAGAGCTCAGGGCTAATAATCTCGATGAATTAAGGGTGCAAATCTTTAATACATGAAATGCTGTTTAACGTGCGCAGGAATTTTTATGATAGGGTATTGTTTAACTGCTGCTGGTGGTCTATTTGAACATTTAATTTAGAAAAAAAGTTATTTTAGAATTATTTTTGTTTGAGAATTTATAGGTTTTATTTTTATTGAATTCGTTTGTTTTGTTTTAATGCATTTCTGCAAATAAAAACTAAGTATTGTTTAAAATCCATTAAATAAGAGTTAATGGCGAAAATGTATTTCTTAAAAACTATACACATTTCCCTACGACAGCGTCGGAGCTACTGAACAAACACAGACTGTAGATCCAACTGCATGCCCTTGTATCTGGCTGCATGCCACGCTGTTGCTATATGCTATTATTGTTTCCTAAAAGGGTTGTTTTTCTTATTTTTTAATATTAAAAGTAAGAAAATTAATTAAATCAAATTATTTTTGACATATTATTAATTTTTTTGTTATTTTTAAAGTTTCAAACAAATAAAATTGAACTATTTATTACATAATTATAATCGTTCTCTTCTGATTTAAAACAACCTTGCAACTATGGTTCGTAATTACGAATGGCTTGGTTTAAACCACGCCCAATTAAAGTTTGTTTCTTTTTCTCTGATCAGAATATAATTTGTCATCCTTGTCTCCAGCCTTACTTACTTAATTCTATACAGTCTGTATTTTACAGAAACTTTTGTAAGGGTTAATGTGCAATTTTGTACTCTCTAAAAATGAAATAGTCAAAATTCTACTATTTGAATTAGTACCAGCATTTTTTACTAATAAAATAGTCGTTTTCACTTTTAAATAATTATTTTTTACTACATAAATAGTTAAAATTTGACTAATTTAAGATTAGTCACCATCTTTGACTATTTCTGAGAGTTAAAAGTTACTAATTTCTTTAATCGTTTGCAGCCAACAACAAAGTATTATTTGAATCAAATGCATATACCTAAGCTCCATGACCCATAAAAACAGATAAAGATGCAAAAAGTTTAGCTCAAAACAGCAACACAAATAATATATTCAACTTTAAAATATTACGAACAATATTTATTGACAAATAAAATTGATTTGTATAAGAGCGGCTGATAGCCGAATGGGTTATGACAACAGCTTGACAAGTGACACACCTGAGTTCAATCCCCGGCTGGGTCAAAACTTTTTTTAACTTTAAATCTACTAATTTGACTATTTCATTCAGTAGAATTTGACTAATTATTAGTGACTGCTTTTTCGCTATGACAATTAGTCAAATATGACTTATAATTAGTTATTTTTGACTTATTCATTTTAAGAGAGTAGTAGTACTGATAGTCATATTGTACCGAATTTATTTATAATTTATTGATTTTAGAATGGTGTGTTAATTTTGTAAATGTTATTATTATCTGCAAAATGTCTGTTATAATTACAAACAACTTATTCAATCAGTTAACATACTACAGTTGGTTGTAAACTTAATATGGATTAATATCAAATCTGGTTAATATTAACAAATATGTTTTAACTGTGTAGCAAACTGTATGCATTTAGATCCCTCAAAGTAAAAAAATTTCAAAGATGGATTGTTCGCACATTGACCCACTTACGTACTTGTAATGTAAATCTTTGACTCTTTAGCATACGCAAACATAACCCAAACATTAGCATTTTATCAGCGAAATTTTTACTGAATTGGAAAGTATTGAAAATGTCTTTAGGAGAAGTTTTATCATTATTAGATCATTTAAATACTACTCTCTAAAAATGAATTAGTCAAAAATGACTAATTTAATAGTTATTAGTGGCTGCTTTTTCACTTGTACCGTGGTTAACCATGGAATACCATGGGATCCCAAAATTTAACAGCTAATTCTTATGTAAAATTGTCCCCTAAATCCGAAAATGTCAAAAAAAGTTATAAAAGTAGAACAGTTTTAATTTTTTAGCTTAAATGAGGTACTTTTGTATAAAATAGTACAATAATTCTTTAAATTAAAGGATTTAATGCTGGCAGGTAAAAAGTGACCATGGTGCGCAATTGATAATTATCTCCCAATGAAATAATGTATAAAACTTAAACTAAAAGAAACTTAAATATTAGTTAAAAAATCGTGGGTACTTCAAAAAGTCAGATTTAATTTAATAAGATAATTATTACAAAAAAAGTGATATTTTTTTAGAAAAAATATTGCAGAATCGTATTTAATTTTTATTTTAAACATTTTTTCGTAAAATGCATACTAACTGAGATATTTCAAAGTTTCAAGTTAAATAACCCACCCTGTATCATTACTTGTTTTTAATATTAAAATTTTGTATAAATTGTGACTAAAAGTAAATAAAAAACAACTAATGCAATAAATCAAACATTTGCTTTGCAAATACCATTTTAAGATGCTAAAAGTTAAGGTCAACGTTTTCGAGATTTTTGCTCGAAAAAACGCGGCCGACTCTTAATTTTGCTTAATTTAAAGATTAATCGCTATCAGTGCCGAATAAATTGCTTCGCCCTTGACTGGAAGCTATCGATTGATTGATTTATACTTGGAAGCGTTCGCGAAATGATTCGTTTCGTGAGCTGAAGAGAGAACTCCGCGCTATCGATTTAATTAAGGTAAAAACGTCGTAAACTTGTATTACTTACGCCCATCGCAAGGATGGAAAGATTTATTGGGCGATTTCCTAGAGAAATGTCAAAGGTTTTAACTTAATTCGAACAAAAAAATGTTCAAATGCCAAACATAAATGTTTTACGCCATTATACGTATCCCGTCAGAACAAGTTTGAAAATAATTACTCACCGAAAAACTCTCTTGGACTTCCTGTCCCCTTTGGAATGTTTCCTGCAAAACCAAAACCAAATTAATAAACATCTCAGCAGCTTAAATCACATAATTTTTATTTAACAAATAAATTAAACCAGCGCACCCAAAATCCTACCCATAACGCCCATCTTTATGAAGACTAACATGATATGATTTACAGTCATTTTAGCTTGATTGATCGAGAGACATCAAGAGTGCCTTTGTGATGCAACTTTTCAATTATGAGACTCCCGGTGTTGTTGAAATCAAGTTGATGCCGTTTAAGGATGCTGTGTATAAAACATTACCCATATTTCTTAATTGGATTAAAAAGACAATATAAGGTTCTTAATTTAATAAAAAATACGGATAAGGGTAATGTAATTTAAACCGCCATCAAATCTTAAGAAAACCATGAAAACAAAATATTGCAACTTTTATTTTATGTCATTTTTTTTAAACTTAAATGACTTTCTATTGACACCGATACTAAATTTCTCTGGAAGCATGTTTATCCGAGTAGGCGCGTACATAATCTTCCAAATAACCCTGTAGGTGGCATTTTTATTGTTTCAATAAGCTACTGCGTTTACTAATATCATTCTTGAAGATTATTTCTGTTGAAATGCCTATTAAATTGTAATTTATTCATAAAAAAATCACGTTCCACTTAAGCCACAGGGAAAAATCTTTAATCTTCAAGATAAACATTACAAAATATCTGCACGATTTGCTCGTGATTTCACAGAAATTAACAAAAATCCTCCTAAATCACGTTTCGTATTGGATTTGTATGGGAAAAATTTGGAAAATCGGCCTTTAAATGTATGCGTGGAAAGTAGATAAAGACATTAATTTTCGCAGCAAATAAGTCGCCATTTATCATTGGATTTGTCAGGAACGGCCAACTATAGACATTGCGGTCGTACGAAATAATAAATATGCTCGAGAGATATACAAAATAGCGGAATCAATTAGCATAGCTAAGAAGGTAATTAGCAATAAATTACACTGATCGGCAAAATTTAAAAAAAGCTTATAACTTCTGACGTTTTTGGAGACCATCTATAAATAATAGTAAGCCATGGAAATGACATATGATGAAAAAAAAAGATAAAAAAATATGTCTATTTTGCGTTCATAATGCTTTCTTTGCTGAAATGAGATACTTTATCGCATCCAAAATTTAGATTTTATAGGTTGGCTATACTTTAAACAGCATAATATTTTGCACATTGGTTATAATATTTTTATGATTTTTCTAGTACTTACGAGACTTTTCTGGCAATAAATTTTGTTTAACACCAAAGAAAATCCTTTTTTTCTTCTTTAACATTAACAGCCGCTTATTGTAAATAAGTAAATTAAGGACGGCATGGCGAATCGATTTTGACATTAACTGTCAAACCAATGACTGTGATACCAACTATCTAAAGTAAAATTCGAACAAATTAAATTTAAGGTATAAAATTAATTTTTCTTTAGAATTTTTGCAAAATTAATAAAAGAGCATAAAGAACTCATGTCATAAGACCTTTTGTCGCCCGCGGACAATTTATAAAACGTCTTATGACATTAGTTCTTTAATATACTATTAAATCGGTCTATTATTAAATATTTTAAATTAAATTTATTATTGGAGCTCAAAGTCGGTTAAATTATCAAATTGGTGACATTTTTTCTTTTGGTTAAAATGGCGAAAACAGAAAAACAATTGAACGTCGGGTTTCCGAAATATTTACAAAAATAACATTTTTTTTAATGGGACACACTGTATATTTTTACATATTTTTAAAGGCACGCAAAAAATTATTTTTGCATAACTGCCCTAAACTTAAAAAAAAAATAAACAATAGGCACTTGCACCTTCTGATTGTTTTAATAGTATATTATGTAACAAGTTTTATAAGCGCCATTTTAGTTACGAGTTTTATTAGGCACGAGCGAAGCTTGCGAGCGAGTGTTTAATGAAAACGAGTGTCTAGAGAAGTTTATAAAACGAGTTGCATCTAAGACGAACAGAAAGAAGAATTTAAGAATTGTTAAAAATTTGACATCTGTCAACTGTCAACGGATTTAACCTCACTTTTTCTAAATTTATAATGAAGCTAACTTCAGCCCGTGACTAAAATGTCCAAAAATCACTGTTGCTAACTTCAGCCCGGCACAGCTTATCAATGGAAGAGTAGATAAAATAGGTAATAATTTGGTTATTAAATTAAAATTGTAAAAAACATAAAAATGTAATTTTTTCACTAAAATAAATCGTTTTATACACTTAGGACTCCCGATTAATGAAATTCCAACATTTCAGTGGGTAATTTATAAGATACATATTTATTTGAGCCGCACAACAAAAATAATTAATAAAACATTTATAGATATAGATACACGCATATCGTATAAATCATAGCATATAAATGAAAACAGATAAATTATTAATTTGTTATAAATCTTGCAGCCAAGTCGTCGGGTTTCACAATAACTATGTGTATGTGTACTAATACAAACCAAATGAAATAAACCAATGAAAACGATCCCAAAAAAGACAGACATAGATATCCTGACCGCATTGCCGTGTATTTAACAACGAAAAAACACCAACATCGACCGCAACGTGTTATGAAATTAGTTTTTAATGTCAAATAAAACTACATACTCGGTTTGTGTCGTGTTTGGGTTACTTTTACTTCCATACTGTGTTAATAAAATTTATTGAATTAAAAAAAAACAATTAAAATGGTGGGGAGTCAAGGGTTTAATTATGAACGAGCGTAGCGAGTTGTAATAAACGAGTATCTAAAGAAGTTTATAAAACGCCTGATAGCTGTGTATTAATAGTATATTATGTATCAAGTTTGATAAACGCCATTTTATACACGAATTGAGTGTATAGAAAAGTTTATAAACGAGGTGCATACTATACTTTTTCTACGATAAATGCTTATTATTTATCTTAAAATGATTTAAATCAAAAATTTGTATAGAGCGCCATCTATGAAACAATAGGGGAATCTGTGTGTCACCGTCAAATGTCAAATTTTTATATTTTATAATCACAGATTATAAAGGTTATAAATCGAAATGTATTTCTTGAAAATTGACAGTTTTTCACAGTGAAAGTAAAGAAAATGTTTTATGAGCACTTTACAGTGAAGTCCGTGCCCGAATTTAAGTTATAGTTTACTGCCGGCGAAATTAAAAGGTCAGTACAATGTTCATATAACCTTTTCAAATATTGGCGTTGAGAAACTATTTAATACTTTTGTATTTTTGTATTGAGATAATAAAATAATTTTCACATTTAGTATTATTTTACAAGAAAGGCACTTTATTTTAAAGATTGTATGACAATTGTCAACTAACTTAAAACTAACTTCAGCCCGTGACTAAAAACCTGTTCTAACTTCGGTCCGTGACTAAAGCGCCATAAAGCCACAACTTGTCAATGTGTATTTAAAAGGTCACTTAGTGTCATGAAAACATGTACGATAAAGGGCGTTTTAAAGGTGGGAGTAGAAAATTTTTTTAACGACTTGTCAATGTATGAGTGGATAAAATATTTCAGGTTTTAATTTTATTATTTCTCTTTTTCTTCTTCTTCTGGTATTAACAATTTCACAATACATTATTTTTTGGCAGGTAGGTGTGTTTTTAATTTAATTTTTTTTAACTCATAGAAAGTATAAAAAATAACAAAATCAAATTAAAAACAACAATTTATGACATACACAATAAAATTTATCGAAATAACTAATAATTATTATTTGGCACACTATAATTCAACAGAAAAAATTTTGCGACAAATGATAATTTCTGATATGCAGTGAAAGTGGTAGCAAGAAATTAGAAATTTGATGAGATCATGAAATAGTGGTTCGTAAGAAATGTGTTGCATTAACTTTGACATAACGTTACGTGGCTAGAGGATAGGCCGAGAAAATTATAGTTTTTTGCACTGACCTACCTTGTATAAGAATATTAAATTTCTTAAGATCAAGTTCTCGCTATCAGACTATTCTATTGTAATATTTTTTAAACATGATTTTAAAATATATGCTTCTTAAATAAAATACCACCATAGATAAAAAAAATTATATTTTATAAAATAGTCAAAATCTCAAAAAAATGCATTTTAAACTATAAAGCTGATTTTATGAATAAAAACCGAAAAAACTAATTTTGAAAATACAATTTACTTATATTAAGTTTTAAAATCATTGTCGTAATAAAAAAATCATATTTTTTAATGTAATTAAAAACAATTACTATTTTTAACAACTATAGATATATCTACAAAATTAATAAAGATATAAGAAAATGTAACTCACATAATATGTAAACAAAATTTAATTTTAAGTAAAGAATTTATAATTACCTACTTAAGTTTTATGCTTGTTTTAAAAATTGTATATAGGTATTTAATATGTTTATAAACTTTTAAATTTTTATAAAAATGATTTTAACAAACATTTATGTAGGTAGGTGTTAATTTTTTTGTTTAGGAAATTGATTAATAAAGCAACATTTCTTATTAAAATTCTTTTCATTTAAGTTCCCAATTTCCAACAAATACTTTTGTTACTGGGTCTACACCGAGAAAAATCTGAGATTTATAATTAACCAACGACTGTTTTCACGAATAATATTAATAAATAAATCAACTTGGGTATTATTAACAATAGCGTGTTTGTATAAAGTAAATTAGCATTTACAGATTAACAATAAATATATGGATAGGATTAATGCTAACACAGCGTTTCTTATAAAAAAAAAATATTTATATATTAATAGTTAATCAACATTGCGTTACTGTCAACCTGTAATTGTTTAAAATATCGAAAGTATATAATGCATTTAATTTAAACCATTTTTATTAATAATAAATAAATTTGTTCTCCCCCCAGGCCACTCGCGCAGCGGAAGCTTTGTTTTGTCGGCCATTGATAAAAAAGGTGCATCTTGTTCTGTGATTTTGTTCTGTGGAAGGTGTGTGGGTGTAATAAAAGCGTGTAATTGCATCAGATGTAGTTTACTTGTTGGGAATCGTATTAAGTAGCTCTCATAAATGGTATACCCTCAACAGGTGCAA